TCCCATCCCCCTGCGACCTATACTCGAGCTTCTATGACGTAATAAAATTATATATTTATACGACACGAAGCTATTTGGAGTATGATAAGTGAGGCACGGCGAAATGATGTTATTATGCAACATTGAATACTTATCGTATAAACTAAGTAATGTTTTGAGATAATGTTAATGTTTCACAGAGCTTGTATAAATAAGCGAATATTAATGCAGCAATAATTAATAATAAATGTTATTTTTCATTTTAACCTCGGTGAGCTCGTTTAATCCCGTCTATAAATCGCGTTTAAATAGCGTAACGGATAATTAAATATTCAAATTTGGTAATTCAATTTAAATAAACAATCGATGGAAAACAATTTAATAATTCAATTAAATTTAATAGAAAGTATGTGCAAATTTCAAGTTGAATTTAATAACTGTTAAAAGCTTTATAAACAAATGTATCGCCGGTTCTATTTATTAATTCCGCGCGTTGGTTTAAATAATACATGAATCGCGATTAAAATAATTCTCCGTCCTTGCGGCAAACAAATACATTGTACATACATGTACGTGTATCTCCGGTTTTTCTGCGCGCGATTCAACAGTCGTAAAAAAAAAAAAAAAAAAAAAAAAAAATAACGAAACATTTATTTGGCTGTAATTTCTACGAGATACGTTTTATATCGAACGTCGCTCAATTCTGGCATCAAATATAAACACGTTATCTTTCTATAATTTTTCGCTCGGCAAGCACATACTATATACTATACGTATGTACGTGCGAGTTTTTCCCGGTGTTATATTAAAATTTGTTTCCAACGGAGTGGTCTATTTTTGCAACGTGAAAATCGCGTCACCGCCTGCATATTGCACTATTTACGTTTAAGGATTTCAATATTACACGTTATATAGGATGTACATTTCCAAAAAGATTGAATTCAGAATTCAGCGCGGCGGCTATAATTCACGTGGTCGATAACTTAACAGCCTTTGCACAGGCCTGTTGCAAAAACCGTTTCTCACGGCAATCATTTCCCCCCCCCCCCCCCCCCCCC